TAGTCCCATTATACCAGATTGCAGTGACCTCCGAGACCTGAACTTCGATTGTATTCAATCTAGTGGTTTCAGAAGCTAGTGGTGTAATGTAAGATCTTCACTACGTTGTCCATGTACTATCGATTGACAGTTTTCTCGCCCCGCGCGGTTAATTTTTCCTTCGGGAGCCTCCCGACCAATTGGAAATATCCGCACTCACAGAATGCGAGTTGAAACGATTTTCGGGGGCTTCCGTGCAGGCGCTCAATGAGCTACGCAGGCTAGTGGGTACCCTCTCTTTTCCCTTTATACTCTCTTTTTCCCCAACAGTGGCTGGCAATTAAGTCCAGCAAAACCTTCTTGTGTTTCATCTTTCTAGGGGCTTTAATTTTATTTTTTTTCTCCTCTCTTCTCTTGTCTACTCTACAAAGTACACATGGAAAACAACAGAAGATGCCAACGTAGTTATTCATAAGACTACAAACTTGCAAAAACTTCGATTCCAGGGTCCTTTCCTACTCGAACCCTGGAGACCGAGAGGGAAAGGACCTTGCGAAGAAAGTTAAAAACTTACACGCAGCGGAGACTGTTCTGGTTTTTCCCTCTCCTGCGCTTGTGTACCCTGAAATGGAAATAACGTAGATCTCCCCGGGAATTGAATTATTCAAAGTAACTTGCTCAGTATTCACGTCCAAGTCCCGGTACACTGTATCGCCTGCTCTACCAAATCGATGATATCTCATCTTATATCCCAGTAGTGTTCCTCCACGATTTCTCTCTTCAATGGATTCTAATCGGAATGAAATGCTGCGCGCGTCAATGTCTTGTCTCCAGCCGTGGATATAAGGTGCTTCACTGGGTACTTGATAAGGAAATAAACAAATATGGAAGAGTTACAAATAACGAAACAGCTAAATACTATAACGAGCAACCCCTGAAGTAACGGCAAGCAGTGTATTGCGTAGCTTTACTTTTCTTTGCCGCTTCACCAGCAAAAGGTGCCCTTCAGTTCTTGTTTATGCCAAATCATGCAGAGCTGGTCATAGCAATTACGGATCTAGAACACGATCCTGGTAATAGAGTGGAAAGACTCATCAAGGTAGTTTTGTTGCAGCTTTAAGATGTGCATAAGACTCTTTCTAATATCTTTCAATCTATCAGTTAAGTACTCTTACGACAGTTGGCAAGATCAAATAAACTAAGACTATAGGAAATATCTTAAGGCAGTGTGCAAACATACTTTATCAGGTACACTTATGTTAAGTTGAACTTTGCGTTTAGCTCATTAGCTTTGTAGCTCTTCAGAACCTCCAATTGTCGCCTGTTTAGTTATTTCTTTTTATGCGTTGTATTCCTAACTCATATTTCGTGTCAGAAACTTTGCTCACACTGCCGGTAGGTGGCTCCTCCTCCTCCTCCCTATGTTCTCCCGTTGGTATTAGATGTCATGGATCCAAAACTATCTTGGAATTGCATATTATCATAGATATTTCCAGCAAAAACAATTTCCCGTCTGTCCTCTTCGATCGAAATCAATACGGCCTGTCACTAATTGCATGCACGCAAATTGCGGGTTGCTTGTGCTAAAATTTCTACAATCTATTGTAGTGTTTAATTGAGCGAAACCAATAATGGCATTGCACACATTTCGGGCCGTAGCAACAACAATTAGTTGCTGACTCAGTGAGCAATTGGAATATCTTACGATGGCCAAAATATGAACAGTACCTAACACCCTAAGCGTTTTGGTGTATTGCATTTACTTTGTTTTCCTATCCCTTGTTAGTATTTGTGCTCACATAGTGAAAAGCGCCTCCTAGAATGTTCTACAATTCAGTGGCATCGGGTTTAAGATGTTTCGATACAGTTTTTCAGAGGCCATACCGATATTTTTCAATCGCCTTAAAAGTGTCTTTTTCCTGGTCCGATCGCTATAAAACTTTCATCAGTAATTGACTTTGGATTGAAATTTGTGAAAATGTAGTTTGAAGTAAAATCGATATTACTTGACAACAATAACCAAAATATTTTGAAACTGATAAAAACCGAATGTTGTGTGATCTAGACCAGCTACTGAAAATTCAACACTAGGAACTTAAAGTTTGGTGCTTAGCAGACAATCTCCATGAGAAATAAAAAATTCAGTAGGTTTGAATTCGACTGAAACGAAACTATAGTTTAAACCTTAAATTTTCAAAGCAGTGATAGCGTATTTAATAAAAACGTTGTAAATGAATCAGATTATTCTTAAGTAGCGTCAGAATGCTGCTTAATATCATATGTCGATGCCAAGAAATTTTTGTGTATTTTCGTTCTTGCGATCTGAAAAACTAACCCGTTTTCTCACCACCTGTCTAAGCGCAGCTTCATTCAAAATTTGGACTTTTAGTGCTTTTTTATATAATAAGGTCTGAAACCTTCATTGAGATTGATGCACTGCAACATTTTAAAATTTCAAGATAAACCTATCTTACGAACCTGTCAACCTATCTGCGTTACAACATTCACTGTTTTGACGTTATGCACATTTTCCCAAAATAATGCGCACTATACATACCTCCATGACTAGTACATTTTAGTTTGAATTTATCGCATCTTTTGAATGTAAAACATTGACAACACTCACACTGAAATGTACTAGTCATGGATATATCTATTGTCCGTATTAATTTGGACAAATTAGCATAACGTCAAAACAGTGAATGTTGTAGCGCGGACTTTTGACTTGTTCGTAGAATAGGTTGGTCTTGAAATTTCAAGGTGTTGCAGTGAATCAATCTCGATGAAAGTTTCAGACATTATTATATACATTATGAAGATTATGTGAAGAGATTTAAAAAAAAATCGTTCAAGTCGTTTCAGAGATATTCAAAAAAAGCGCTAAAAGTCCAAATTTTGAATGAACTTGGGCTTGGACAGGTGGTGAGAAAACGGGTTAGTTTTTAAGATCGCAAGAACGAAAATACGCCAAAATTTCCTAGCATGGAAATATCATATTAAGCAGCATTCTGACGTTACTTAAGAATAATTTGAGTCATTTATAACGTTTTTTTTTTTAATAATCTATCACGGCTATTGAAAATTTAAGGTTTGAACTATATTTCCGTTGTAGTCGAAATCAAGCATACAGAATTTTTTACTTCTTACGGAGGTTATTTGCTACACACCAAACTCTAAGTTCCCATAGTCGGATTTTCAGTAGCTGGTCTAGATCGCGCAAAATTAGGAGTTTATCAATTTCAAACTTTTTTTTGTTTATTGTTGTCATAGTAATATCGATTTTACTAAAACCTACATTTTGACAATTTTCAATCCATAGTCAATCATTGGAGAAAATTGTATAGCGATCAGACAAGGATAAAATCATTTTTAGAGCGATTAAAATATATCGGTATGGCCTCTGAAAAACTATATGACTTAATGACCCTGAAACGAAACCGTGAAATTGCCCAATTGATGAATCGAACTGCAAAGACATTTTGATATTTCCATTTATTTCCAGCAACCACAACTATTTGCCGACCACCCGCTTAGCTTCGAATATCTTGCGAAGATGTATAAAAAAACTTTAATTTCTTACCACCCTCAGCAGATTTAATGGTGAGTGTTTGACTTTTGTAGATATCATTATTTACGGCCACGAGATAGACAACAGCTTGGAACTCTGTGGCTGCAGGAATATCTGATACGTTGACCTCCGTCTCCGAAAGGTTAAAAAACCTGAGCATGCGTATAGGATTGTAGTTTTCATGGTCATAACGATGATCATTATTTTCATGAATTTCTGTTTGATTCAGAAAAACTATGAAGTACTCGGCGTTTAAATCATTTGGGAAAGAGCTCCAGTCTAAAATAAGGCTTTTGCCACTCGCTTGAGCTGTTAAACTCCAAGATGAAGGAGGATCAAGAGCTACAACGAAAGAAAAACACAAAGTTAAAAAATGGCTTATCGGAAAACGACGAATCACTAATTGCTAACTTTTGTCTTTCTGAAAATTAGCCTGAGAAAACAGACGACATTTCGCGACACCACCACTGGTTTCCCCGCCAAATAACGTCTGAGAAACGAGCGCAGAAATTCCATACTGATGACGCGTCACACCCCAGATATGTTAAGTGCTTCTGATTGGTCGTGACGCTTGGGAAATTTGATTCAACCAATCAGAAGCACTACCCAGATCTGGGTAGTGACTCGTCATCAGTATGGAATTTCTGCGCTCGTTTCTCAGACGTCATTTGGCGGGGAACCAACGTTAGCATCGTCAAACGTCGGCCGTTTTCTCAGGCTACTGAAAAATAGGAAAGTCAAATTCAGAAGCAAAAGCCTCTACTCGTATCAAGTATCAAGTATCAAGGGGAATGCCGCATTTTTCTCAGGGGTATTCAAACCTTACCAGACTTTTAAAACTACGGCAGAGCGTGAAAAAAAACAAAAAAAGAAACAGAAATATAATCAAAACACTAATTTAATAACCTGATTCAAGGCCTCCTTTGACAATTACGAAAGAAGTCCAAAAGTGACTTTGCGGATACTGTATTCGAACTTCTGCTTTAAGGAAGTTTGAATCTCCGAACGGTACTGTTGTCATATCCAGGCGTAGAGGATTGCATCCCCGGTGAGTTTTAGCCTCCTGGCCATCCTTGAGGATCGTAGCATATTCATCGCTATAAAAAAAACGGAGTATCCTTAGATTATTATTAGGGAGCTTAAGCAGCAACGACGGCGACGGCTACTAAAACGTCACTTAAAGAAGCTAAGATCCATCGTGCTCTGTGTAGCGTATCGACCCGATTATTGTCCGGTGTCCTGTTTTGTTGATGACTTTATGGACAAGTTTTCTCAAGCGCTTACATTAGGGAAAAACATCATCGTCGCTGCTGACCTGAACTGTGATATGTTCACACCGCGTTCCCCGGAAGCTGTAGCTTTACAAGACCTGTGCGACAGCGTGAATCTGACGCAGTTGATTAAGGAGCCGACTCGCGTGACTGAAAGTTCGTCCACCCTTATCGACGTGATTATGACCTCCAGTACCGACCTTGAGAAGAGGAGTGATTTACTGAAATCTCACATCAGTGACCATTATCTGGTGTATGCCTTTTTAAAGCTGAAAATCTCAAAACCCCCTCCTAGCTATGTGGAAGTCAGATCTTACAAGAACTATGACAGCCAGTTTTTTGTCTCTGATCTCGAGCGTGTGCCATGGAATGAAGTTGTCGTTGTTGACGACACGAGTGATATGGTTGATCGATTTAACAAGCGATTTCTTGAGGTCCTAGATGGCCATGCGCCTGTTAAGTCAGTGAAAGTCAAGCACCGCCACTGACCATTTGTTAATGAGGAAATCAAAGAGCTGATGCGAAATGGAGATAGATTATTGAGGCGCGCTCGTTGCACCGGGCTTCCTGTGGACTAGGAACTGTACCGTGACTCCAGACAAGTGGTTAAGATCAGGCTACGGAAGGCGGAACAAGAATACATAAATAAAGAGATGGAGGGTTGTCAGAATACTAGTTCTCAGTGGAAATTGATAAGGAATTGTCTGCCGAGAAAGGAGGCTACGCAGCAAGTGTACACGAGGGAAGTTAAGGCGGTCACAGAGAAGTTTAACGAGTTTTTTGTATGTGTTGGCGCTAAAGCATCAGAGGCATCTAAAGCCTTGATTGCTACTCATGAACTGTCTCCGCCAAACGATTTCACTAGTGGAATATATTCCGGATGAGGAGAAGTTTAATTTTCGCGCTGTTTCAAGTCACGAGATTCGTAGAGCCGTAATGTCATTTTCATCTAACAAAGCCCCGGGGTTTGATAAAGTCACCATGTCTGTGATTAAAGATGCGCTCCCTTGTATTCTGCCTGTGCTTACAGACACTGTGAAT